GGGCCAGCCTGGCCCTGCCTGCCCCCCCCAGCACTGGCAGAGGATTTTGCGTGCGTCTCTGGAGGCAGTGTGGGTTTCGCCCCTGGCCGGGGGCTTGTGACGGTGCCGGGGATGGCCGAGGCGAAGGCAGAGGCGACGGTGGGGAGTCGTTCCTAACGGCATGGGGCAAATTCCCCGACGCATCTCCGGAGCATCTCACTGCGATGCCAGCCTGGTGGTGCCCGCTGGAAAATGGGTCCTGGCAGGAGGAGCACAGTGGATCTGGCAGCCGAGCTGTGCCGCTGGCCAAACCCCACCTGCCAAAGGTGCTGGAGCTGCTTGACCTGGAGCCGGCCAAGCGGCGATGCGTGGCACGGACAGCTGGAATGAAGACGGACGGAGGGAGATGTTTGCCGAGACACGGGCGTGGGGGAAGGATGCCCCGTTTCAGCCTGGCACCTTGGCCAAGTCTACAAGTGGTGGAGGGCATGCAGAAGCACCCAGTCACGTCGGAGGAGTAGCTCGCAGGAGCTTCAGCTTCTCAGGAAACCTGCAGACCCCCGGTGTGGTCCATCCTCATCTGTCCTCGATGCTGGGCTCCATCCCGGAGGAGGCTGCCTCTCCCGGTGGGCTTCGGAAGGTGCCACGGGGATGGAGGGGTGAAAGTCTAACCAGCTCCTGGGTTTGCTTCCTCCTCCAGGATTATATCTTCTACCTGGAGCCAGACAAGCTGGAGTCGGGCAAGGGGAAGTGTTCCTACGACCCCAAAGTTGACACCGTCTCTGCATTAATCAGTGAGTCCTGTAGCTCCCTGGGGCCGGTGCTGCCTGCCTTGGGCAGAGGGAACATGCAGGCGAGATGGGACAACTGCTGCCACCGTCTTCCTGCGTTGCCCAAATATCCCCAAGGAGTCAGGCTCCTGCCCCTGCCACCCCTGCCCGCTCCAGCTGCAGATGGCTGGGCACCCGGATGCCCGGTCCTTGGTCATCTGGCCCAGCAGAGGTGGGGGTCCTGGGCCAACCTCACCAGGTGTCTGGGATGGCTACAGGCGGTGGCTCCTGGTTGCCTGGTGGCTACTAGCCAGGGCTGGGGCTGGATGGAGCCTGGGGCAGTGGGAGAAGGTGGGTGGACGGGACTAGGTGGCACCCCCCCGGCTGATCTCTGCCCTCTGCAGATGAAGAGCTCTATGCTGGTGTCTACATCGACTTCATGGGCACGGACGCAGCCATCTTCCGCACCATGGGCAAACAGACAGCCATGAGGACAGACCAGTACAATTCACGCTGGCTTAATGGTGAGTTTGGGGTGTCATTGGCTCAGGTTCCCTAGGGACCCCACGGCTGCAGCCATAGAGATGAGACCTGTTGTGTCATACTGCATCCTTCTCCCAGGACAGGGACAGTAGCCAGCATGGGCAGGTGGATGGGTGGTGGTGTGGGATGGATGGATGGATGGATGGATGGATGGATGGATGGATGGACGGACAGAGGAATGGATGGACAGATGGATGGAGGGAGGGACAGACAGGTGATGGATGGATAGTTGACGGTAGATGGATGAGTGGACAGATGATGGATGGACAGATGACGGGTGGGTGGATGGATGGATGGATGGATGGATGGATGGATGGATGGATGGATGGAAATCTAGGCAGAAGAGCAGAGGGATAGCTGTGTGGGGCACAGTAACAGACGTGCCAGGGGCTTTGCTGGGTGGTGAGAGCAGCCAGCTGGAAGAAATGGGGGCTGGCTCTGCCAGAGTCCGTGCATGGGTTTCTGCAGGGCTGAGATGTCAACCGTGTCGCCTGCAGTCGGTGACCCCAAGCGTTCATCCTGCCCCCCTCGGAGCACCCCTGCCCACGGGGCGGCAGCTGAGTAAACAGACCAGAGCAGATGGGATGGTCCTGCCGGGCTGGGGAGCCGGCAGGGCGGTAACCTGAAGAGGGGGAGCTGTCAGCACAGGCTGGGCGCTGGCTGATGGATGGCAGGGAGAAGCTTCCTGAGAAGCTTCCAGGCTGTGTGGTTCCTCCCTGGGGAGGAAGACCAGTTCCCACCACCCTGCTCGTAGAGCTGCTGGATCTTGGGGATGCTCCAAGGGACTTCAGGGGTGCTCTGAGCCCCATCAGAGAGAGCCGGTTCCTCAGCCCTCAGCTCTGGTCCAGATCCAGCTCTTTGCCCTGCGACCACGGCAGTGCTTTTCCAGAAGCGGGGCAACGCATCCCGCCACTGCACAGGGCAGGGGTGCCACTGGGCTGACGGTGCTGTGCCATGCCGTGCCATTCCAGACCCAGCCTTCGTCCGCGCCCAGCTCATCCCCGACAGCAGCGAGAGGAACGACGACAAGCTCTACTTCTTCTTCCGAGAGAAGTCGGCCGATGCTCCGCTGAGCCCTGGGGTCTACTCCCGCATTGGGCGCATCTGCCTGGTAGGTGGAGCGGTGGGCAGGCAGGGGAGCGGGCAGGGGGACAGGCAGGGCTGAGCACGGGGGTCCCTCTGTTGCAGAATGACGATGGGGGCCACTGCTGCCTCGTGAACAAGTGGAGCACCTTCCTCAAGGCTCGGCTTGTCTGCTCCGTGCCAGGACCCGACGGGATCGAAACACACTTCGACGAGCTCCGTGAGTGGGCGAGGGGGGAACAGGGTCCTTCTGTACCCCTGCAGGCTTGGGGGCACCCTTGGGAGGTGACATGGTACCCTGTTTCATGGGGAGGGCTGGGGACTCCCTTGCTGCCCCCCACCTCTTACCTCTCCCATGAGGAGCTGCCCTCCCCACTGCCCCGGCATCCCTGGGTGTGAGGGGGGTCCCTGCCCGCCTCCCCCATGGTGACACCCCCATCTTTCTGTCCCAAGAGGATGTCTTCATCCAGCAGACACAGGACACAAAGAACCCCGTTATCTACGCCGTGTTCTCCGCTTCAGGGTGAGTGCTGACCCTCCCGGCACAGAGCTGTGGAGGGAGGGTGAGTCCCCAGCTGGGTGGGGGTCCCAGTGATGCTGTGGTGGTGGGCAGCGCCAAGCCAGAGGGTGGCAGCTGGTCCTTCCTCCCAGGTCGGTCTTCAAAGGCTCTGCCGTCTGCGTCTACTCCATGGCCGACATCCGCATGGTCTTCAACGGGCCCTTCGCGCACAAGGAGGGACCCAACTATCAGTGGATGCCCTACACGGGCAAGATGCCCTACCCCCGGCCGGGCACCGTAAGTACCCCCGGGCACAGGTGGGGAGGTGAGCTGGTGCCTGCCGGGCAGCCGGCACGCTCAGACCCGTGCCTGGATCCTGGGTCACAAAGTGCTGGTGACGTTTGTGCCGCAGTGCCCCGGGGGGACCTTCACCCCATCCATGAAGTCGACCAAGGACTACCCCGACGAAGTGATCAACTTCATGCGCACGCACCCGCTGATGTATGCCGTCTCCCCCCCCCCCCGCCAGCCGCTGGTGGTCCGCACCAATGTCAACTACCGCTTCACCACCGTGGCCGTCGACCAGGTGGACGCGGCAGACGGGCGCTATGAGGTGCTTTTCCTGGGCACAGGTACCCACGCCGCGCACCGCGGGGAACGCAGCATGCT